TCTCGAGCATCGACGCCAAGACTGCGGGGGTGGGGGGTGGGGGGGGGGATTGTTAGACTACTGTATTCTGTACGTATAAGGTAGAGTAGTGTAGTGAGCGTGTGTGCAGTTTTCCCACTGAGCACACACGTCCTCCTTCACGATCATGGCCAGCCCACGATCATCATCGTGGCCTCGTGCCTCTCCCTCTGTAACGCTATATGTATGCCTGAGATCACTGAATCAAGTGTGGTTCAATCTCCTTCCCTGAAACAACCACGACAATTTAAGGTGTGGCTTCACCTTTTTTATTGACAGGAATACAAAGGGATGAAACATAAAAGGCCTTATGGCCACAATCATGTATACCAGCGCGCTTCCGACAGTGCCAAACATGACCAGCCGCACTGCTCTCCATCTAGCCTAGAGCTGAACCAAACACAACGACATGACCACACGACAGCAAGACCAACTAAAAGAAAAATCAGTGGGGCTATAGGACGAACTCTGCCTAGGTGACACAGAGACAGTGACAATAGCAAATCGAAAGACCAAATTTGACACAAACCCACACCTAAACACGAACGGCACTACCGGCATTGACCTCAAAGAGGACACCTCAAACCGCCTGGCAAACCTAGAAGTACCAAGATTTATTCAGCCATAAAAAATGCTTCTGTACTAAGCTATGGAAAGATGCTAATTTCCAAAACTCATGGGATCTGAGAAAATTATCTAGATGAGAAGATTGCAAGAACAAAAATATGGAAATAGCACAGGAATGGCTGACAAATGAAAAATAAGGATCCTTGCCTTAGTGCATCACAACATCAAATCCTCGGCACTCAACCCAGCAAGTAAATTCTGAATCCATATATCTGAGCCTAGGACCTATGTTTACAATCGTGTCCTCCTGATGGACTCTGCAGGCAAACCAGTTACTAAGTTCTTCGGAATGTATAGTAAATTCGGATGCTCTTACATAGCTGAAATAAAATAGTACTCCCTCCGTAAAGAAATATAAGAGCGTTTAGATTACTAAAGTAGTGATCTAAACACTCTTATATTTCTTTACAGAGGGAGTAGATGTTAATTCTTCCAGCAAGGCAGACAGCATATAAATACTAACTTACCACCATCTAGCCTACATCGGCCAAAATATAAGGAAAATGATGATCAGTTTCAGAGTAAAAATCGGATGGGTTGAAGGAATATCCTAATTTCACATGTGAGTAATGCTCAATTAAATTTGTACATCAAATCAAATAATACCACGGAGCGTGGGAGTAACAGTAACCTGAAATTGTCAAAACAAGTCATCAGATTAGAATTCAGCATCCAAATCCACAGAGCCCACTCGATGCATCAGAGATGACATATAGAGGTTGCCAATCAAATCAATGGAACATGAAGTAGTTAAAAATCCTATAACATGAGCATCATGGGATACATAATTATGTTATAACAGGAGCATCCCTACAAATAATTACATTAACTAAGGCTCCATGTCCCTTCTTCTCATGTGCCTACATCTCCATTTCTTAGCACATCTTTTAGACAAATTAAGAACCGAGAATAGATAGATATTGTGCCAGTGTACAACCTATGTGATCAGCGATTCTTAATTTTGCCTTCCCCTATGCCCTTTTGTATTCAGAAGACAAATTGACAACAGTTTCTTGGAAATTTAAAACGACATCTTTTTGCTGTTTTGTACTTAAAAAAACCAATTCAGAATGATTCTATCAAATCTACAACGGTGAATGGAATTTACAATAGTGTGCCTAGATAAGAAGAAGTCGATTTGGTCCCATGAAGATGCTAGACATACATGTATTTATTGATTGATCCATGTCAAAGAGAGCTTAAACAAGTCAGAGGTTCGCGGATATTTGACAGGCTTCTTAATTAGCAAAGCTGTTTGGCCGGTCGTGGAGATTATAGGTACAGATCCTATACATAATTAAGCAGCCAGCAGACAACAATGTACCAGATTAGTAAACACCTCAACCGAACCTACAGCAAAAATCAAACGATGGTACATCCTATAAAACAAAACACCCACGAAAGTGATGAACACCACACCGAGACACTAACCCACACCAACAAACCCATCGACAGAAATTTGGCTTCGTTTTGATCAATCAAATGGAGCCGGGGCGGGAGCCCTTTTCTTCTAAAAAAACAAACCCATCGACAGCACCACATCCAGGCAGCCACAAAGCCCTTAATCCAAACCCCAATGGACCGCACCAACAGCAACACGTGATGATACACAGGAAGCATCCACCACTGCCCCTACCATGTAATCCATGGGGTGAAAGAAAAAATCGGGGAGGACACCCTCCGCAGCCGAAACAAGCCTGTGAAATATCAATCGGCACCGACAAAGGCACAAAGAAAGAAAGAAATAATAGCGAAGAAGGGAGCAAATACACGCATCAATCCATGGGGAAACACCCGCAGCAGCCGAAACAAAACTAACCCCAACGCGGCCGAATCGAAGAGCGACGACAACCGCGCCGGCCACCCTATCATAGCAGCTATCCGCAGGGAGCGGCGAGAACCTCCGCCGCCAATCACCCAGTGATCCCACCCTTGTCTTCCAGCCGCTCGTACAACCCTGCCGAAACTACAGCTGCCAACCACTTCACCCCCTCTCTGAATGAAGAATCCCCTTTGGCCAGACTCACAAGGGCCAGCGGAAAGAAGACACGACCACAAGCCAAACCACCATGAAACGAACACGCGACGCTGAACGTCGGTTCAACCGGGAGACACCCCACGCCCTCCCTGACACCCGTGTCCCACACACGCATCTCCCCCTTACAACCGGGACCAGCCAGCGAAAAAATACACATAGCGTCCCAGGCCTCCAATTCCCGGGAGCTTAGAGTTTTTAGGGATTTTCCATTCACTCAAACCTCTTGCAATATAGGTTTTGAGTGGACATGCCACTACAATTCTGTGATTTTCCTAATACTGCCTTTTTGCAATCTTGCAAATCAAAGGTAACCCGCCCGATTCAGTGAATAAAAATCTGATTCTTCATTACGTCAAATATTTGTTATAAGCTTGAACAAGATGTGGGTTAGTATTTTCCTAAGGGTACAAGTCATGAGAAACAAACGGTAGTCCCAGAAGAGCAATATTTGCAACAAACAAACTCTAGTCAAGTAATGGCAGAGCTGTCAAACACAACACTACTTTGTCCTGCTGTCTTCTTGATCCCGGCGTCATGCATCACCTCACCCATTCTCGTCGCAGCACACCAATTCCCATTTTCTAGATAAATATTCCTGATAGTCACATACCGGTCGGATTGCTGAGGACCAAGAGCCACTAGATTTCGCCCAATCTCAGCAACAAGCTCCACATTTCCATGGAGCTTGCAAGCACCAAGAAGCGCGCCCCACACAGAAGCATCAGGCAAAAAGGGCATCCGCTCTATCCTCTCAATGGCCTCCATGAAACGGCCAGCACGGCCTAACAGGTCCACAACACATCCAAAATGGGCCATCATCGGAGTCACCTTGTATTCAGTCACCATCGTCTCGAACCAGTATAACCCAATCTCCACCAATCCTGCTCGAGCACAACCTGTCAGTAGAGCAAGAAATGTAATCTGATTTGGCAAGAACCCTCCAACTATCATCATGTTGAGCTTAACCAGTGCTTCAGTCTCTTTCCCATGATTAGCCAGTGCAGACAGCAGCGCATTCCACGTACAGACCTCCTTCTCAGATACAGCATGAAAAGCTCTCCTACAACAGTCAAGCTTCCCATACTTCCCATACATGTCGATCAACGCCGTGCCCAAGAACGCTGTGAGGTCAACCTCATGGCGAACGACATAAGCGTGAACAGCCGTCCCGACCACAAGCCCCTCAGCACCATCCAAGTTTGCACAAGCCGAGAGCACGCTGACCAACGTGGCCTCACCGAGCAGTCCCCTGTTGTCCACCAAAAATCCCCTGAAGATCTCGACAGCATCCCAGTGGCACCCATTCCTCGATAACCCAGAGATGAGCGTCGTCCATGATACCACATCCCTCACCACCATCCGCTCAAAGAACACTCTAGCCGCAGCCACGTCCCCAGCGAGACACAGCACATCAAGCATGGCGTTAGAGGAGGCGAGATCCGGGCTGGCCATTTCGTCAAACACCTTAGAAGCGTCATGCGCGAGACGGCCAGCTCGGCCATAGGAGCTGACGAGCGAGCATGCAACGAAGCGGTCGGCCGTAAGCCCGCGGCGGAGGCACTGCGCGTGGAGGGCCCTGGTGGCTGGTCCGGAGGCGGAGGCGGACCTGAGGAGGGAAGGGAACGTGTGGCCGTTGGGGCGCGCGCCGGCGGCGAGCATGGTCGAGAAGAGGCGGAGGGGGCCGCATAGCGGGGTAACGGTGGAAGCGGGGAGGCGGAGGTGGGCATGGATGAGGCAGTTGTAGGGGAAGGTGGCGGCAGCGTGGGAGGTGGAGAGCGCGCCGGAGGTGAGGAGGAGGGCATGGACCTGGAGGAGGCGGCGAGGGGCGGAGAAGTGATCTTGGAGGAGGCGTTCGAGGACGGCGAAGGAGTACGGGGAGCCCGTCCACATATGCTAGCCGGAAGCCGGCGAGAGGAGGCCGGCGGCGTAGGAAGGGAAAGCCGGCGGTAAAAATTGATTTTATGACACTCTTTATTTTGGACTTTGATCTTTTGCCACTTTTCAACACAAAAACAAACTTTAAAAATAATAGACAACATAAATGAACCTATTTGACCAAACATTACACAGGGGAAGGGATGAACTCTTGCTGCACTCCTCTCCTGAACCTTCTTGCTACTCCCTGTCGGCCCTTGTTGCTCCTCGCTAGCCCTTCTTGGCCTGTTGCCGCTGCCCCTAGTACTGCAGTCTCTCCTTCCGCCATCGCTCCGCCTGCTGGTTAGGGCCGCCGCCGCAGGGGAGATGAGCGGGAGAGAGGGATGGAACGGGAGAGAGGAAGGGAGCGGGAGAGAGGGACTCACCGGGGCCGCCGCCGTCGAGTACCACCAGGGCCGCTGCCGCCCAGTAGCACCAGAGCCTCGCGTGCGACATAGGGGATGAGATCGAGCGAGCGCTCCTCTGTTCCTAATCAATTGAGAGGTAAGGGTAAGTTTGTCTTTTGTTGTGGGACCCGTCTGACAGGGGGCAAAATATCAAACACCCAGGTAAAGAGTGTCACCAGATCAAATACAAAGTAAAGAGTGGCAAATAGTCAATGTACCAAGTAAGGGGTGGCAAATAATCAAATTCCCCCTTTATCGGAAACGTTATGGCCGTTAGCGTTTCTGCCGAACAAACGTCACGTCTTGGCGTCTAAGGGCATGTACAATGGTTGATAAGGTAGTTTTATCCAAAATCTTGCATATAATTTAGAGATGACAAAAAAGTGTCTACAATAGGTTATCTCTTAGCCTTATCTTCAATAACTAGCTAATCCTAAAAACGTGGTGAGACATATTGTAGAGATCATCTCTAAGAGAAGACAAGCCTTTTCTTATGAGTTCTCTCTTCTCCACCTCATCATTTATCCTACGTGGCACTCCTAAAATAGCACCCTTATACATGCCCTAACGCGTGCCCATGATCACTTATCTAGTCAAAGAAGAAACACTGGTAAGTTTAACATGTTTAGGTAGGACATAAACACCATAATTTTAGCGTTATCATTTATCAAAAGGGTCAGATCGTGAAATAAAATTTGAAATGGTAAAAACAGGGATTTCAGCTGGATTTGGATGCATCACATGACGAGAGCAGCTTAGGAAAGTGTGCAGGAGCTAAGGCCAACTCCAACCTAAGGATACATTTCGTCCGCCCTTGTCTATTTGGACCCGCGCTGATAAAAAAAACGGCCCAACGCATCGACTAAAACAGACAGATGTTCATTTTTTGTCCACCTCGATCCATTTTCGGCCCTAATTTGGGTCGAGTTTGCGTCCGCGCAGACACAACGCGACGCCTCCCTGACCGCCCGTCCGTGGCACAACGAACATTGCCCTTCCCCCAAACACCCTGGCCTCATTGCCCTCGTTGTCGCCACCCAATTCCGGCCTCTTCCCCATTACCCTAGCCCTCGCTACCTCATCCACCGATGGCCCCATCGCCACTGCATTCATCGACGCCCACTCTTGCCGGCATCGTGGCCACTTCTCGCCGCCGCCGGAGTACTACAAGGCCCACCTACGTAGGCTCACCGGCAACCCTCAGCATACAATCTCTACCTCCACGGTCACCGCCGGAGGACACAGGCTTCGACAGACCTGCCGCCTGAATGGGCTAAGGACGATGCCCTTCAATGGTCGCAAATCGTCCACGCCTGCCTCGGTCGCAGCCCACAAGGTGTGGGACGTTTGCTAGGCCAAGGCTCCTCCACCCCAGCCTCCGTCTAATGAGGTACAAATTTGTCACTCTGAAGGATCGTGGTGGATAGCTCAGATGTTTTTTTTACAGTAACACCCTATGTTCATCGTCTGAAGATAAGGGCGATGAGGATGTTGTGCTTGCTACTTTGGTCGTCAATGAGCACATTTCAAGTTAGCGACCATTGTTTAGAGGATCGATCATGTGCCATGCTTCAGGGTTGAATAGTAAGAGAGAAGGCGGTCATTGCCTACTCTACAACGATTGTTTCGAGGTCAAGGAACCACTATTCTCCGCCATGCTTTTTCAGCAATGCTTCCGGATGGTGAGACATTTGTTCAACCGTATTTGGAAGGGAGTGATGGGATATGATGATTCCTTCAAATGCAAGCCTGATACCCTTGGAAATATTGACTTCTCCTCTTATCAGAAATGTACCACAACTGTTCAGATGCTTGCATATAGAATTCCTGGTGATCTTGTGGATGAGTATGTCCGCATGAGTGAGTCCACATGCCTTGAGGCATTGTAAATTTTCTACAAAGTTGTGGTCGCAGTGTTTGGCCCAGTGTACTTGGTAGAACCAAATGATGTGGATGCGGATACAACCCGGTTGTTAGCCATAAATGAATCAAGAGGCTTTTCGAGAATGCTTGGAAGCATAGATTGTATGCACTGGGAGTGTAAGAACTGACCATTTGCCAGGGCCGGTCCTGAGAATTCAGGGGCCCGTGACGAAACCAGAACATGGGGCCCCTTTAATGTACATATCAAAATCATGTTCAATATATGTATTAGTGAAATGTTATCAATAAACACTAAAAATGCAGAGGCTGTGGTACACCCCCTTTGCGAAAAAAACAGTGAAATTGCATCCAAAACTGAATAAGTAGATATGTATATATTACCATGAAATTTTCTCCTAAATGGGGCGCAACCCCAAAACCTCATAGATAATAGTTTTACAGCATCAAACCCATGGAATTGATCATCAAGTTAAGTGTTTATAAAGAATTCAACTTAACTTACTGGTTAATCCTGCTTCCGTAGATATCGTCCAATACTCAATCGTGGAACACAACTACTTAAACTCTTCGTTTTCATTCAGATTTAGTAGGTGTTCTATCCTCCACCACATTTTTGTCATGTGTTGATTTTGTAAATTTCCGAATTACAAGATGCCCATTATGATCTAGTCCCTCCACCCCATTATATAAGAAGGTTTTTTTGCACTACACTACAGTCAAAAAACGTCTTGCATTATGGGACGAAGGGAATATTACTCAGAATCAAAATGTGCTTCCGACGTATTTTGTGCTACTAACATTTTCTAATTTACGTAAGTGTCAGTCATAGCTGTTAGATGATATTGTATAGAGGGAGGAGAGGTGTTTTAAACTTGTATCTTTCTATCTCTTCTTCTGTTGTAACCTCCCTGATCTCCTGTAACGATCAATCTCGATCCTCTCGACCTCTTGTAAGCCACGGTACAAATGTGATATAAATATAGATACGGCCCGAGCAAAGGGTTCAACGCTTTCACCAAAGTTTACATGGTAACAGAGCCTCTTCCTCGATAGATCGGATAGAGATTGCATCTAGCTACCTAGGCGACCGCAACCATGTCCACCACCGCCGCCGCCATGACGGCTAGCACCATGGGTGCGCTCACCACCGACACCTCCTCCACCTTTGCGTCATCGTCCACCTCCACCTCCACCAACTCCTTCCTCGGATCGCCGCCGCAAGAGAAGCTGACGAGGGGCAACTTCCTGCTCTGGAAGGCCATCGTCCTACCCCAGATCAAGGGCGCGCAGATGGAGCATCATCTCGACGCGAAGAGTCCGACACCGCCGGCCACCCTCACCATTACCAAGGACGGCAAAGAAGAACAGGTACTGAACTCTGCGCGATCCCTTTGGTTTGCACAACAGCAACAGCTTCAAGGCTACCTGAAGGGCTCCCTCTCCCGCGACATCCTTGCTCAAGTCACCACGCTCCAGATGCCGGCTGAAGTCTGGCTTGCCATCCACGACATGTTCGCCGGCCAGAGCCAAGCCCAAGCTATCAATACACGCATCGAGTTCACGAATATCCAAAAAGGTAACATGACTATGGCCGAATACCTTGGAAAAATTAAGAGCCTTACCGATGAAGTTGCCTGCACTGCTACTGCGCTCTTCGATCCGAAGATCGTGTCCAAAATCTTAGCCGGACTAGACATGGATTACAATCCAGTCGTCTCGGCCCTTGCTGCCCGGGTTGAGCCCATCACTGTTCAGGAGTTGTACAGCCAGCTCCTCAGCTTCGACGCCCGCCTCAGTCTCCTTCATGGCGCAACCTTTCGCCAGTCCTCTGCCAATGCCGCCTCGCGTGGACGCGGCCGTGGGTGCAGTCACCACGCGCAACGCGGCAATGGGTGCGGGCGTGGCAACGCTCATGGCGACATCGGCTACAACAACAACTTCAACAACGCCGGCGGCAGCAGCTACAACAACAATGGCAACCGATCAGGGGTTGGTGGCTTCAACAACAACAACAGCTGCCGCCCTCCCTCCTCCTCTCGTGGCCGCCCTCGCTGTCAACTCTGCAAGAAGGCCGGCCATGAGGTGATGGATTGCTGGCACCGGTTCAACGAGAACTATGTGCCCGATGCTCGCCATGTTGCTGCAGCCATGCGTGAGCAAGGAGGAGATGGCGTCTGGTATGTTGACTCCGGTGCCACAGACCATGTCACAAGTGAGCTGGAGCAACTTGCCCTCCGTGAACAGTACCACGGCCATGATCAGATTCATACCGCAAGCGGCGGAGGTATGGATATTCAACACATTGGTCAAGCTTATATTAATCCCCCTATGCTTAAACGTGATCTAGTCCTCAAAGATGTCCTTCATGTTCCTCAAGCTGATAAAAACCTTGCCTCTATGTCTCGTTTAGCCACTGATAATAACATCTTCTTTGAAACTCACCCTCGTTATTTTTTTATCAAGGATCGGGCAATGAGGGAACTTCTACACCACGGGAAATGTATTGGAGGCCTCTACCCCATCACATCCGGAGCACTTAGTTGCAAGCATCGTCAGGTCTACTCCGCCATCAAGCCCTCTTTGGTAAGGTGGCATCAACGATTAGGACATCCTTCTTCAGTTCTAGTTAAGCAAGTAGTCAATAAAGGCAACTTTTCTTTGTCACATAGCCATGTTAGTGATTCG